TATAAATGCATTTAATACCACTGAACTGTACCCACAAAAAATGGTTAAGATGGTAAATTTTAGGTTATGTGTGTATTTTACCACAGTAAGAACATTTTGAAAAAGTCTCAAATTAGTGCTTCTTCCACAGATGGCAGTCAATGTTTTCCTTTGCTTTTATTTATCTTTTCTTGCAGGAAATTTGTTCTTTTAAATTAAGGCCAAGCAAATAGAATTGTTATTTGTTTTTACAATTTGCATGGCTAAATGGAAATAATTTGATGTTTCTGTCATGCTTCCTTTTAAAATTTTTCTAAATCTCTTTTTAAATTAAGTACCTTTTATCAGTCTCAACTGCACTTTAACTTTTTAATTCTTTTTGGTGGGGGTGAGGTAATTAGGTTTATTTATTTATTTATTTGCTTGTTTTTAATGGACATACTGGAGATTGAACCCAGGACCTGGTACATGCTAGGCGTGCACTCTTCCACTGAGCTATACCCTCACCCCCATCGTGTTTCTGTTTGTTACAAAATTTATTTTCTTATAGGGGAGGGTATAGCTTAGTGGTAGTATAAGTGTTCCGCATGCATGAGGTGCTGAGTTCAATCTCCAGGGCCTCCATAAAAAAAAATTAAAAATAAAAATTATTTTGTCTTCTGAGATTCATGGTATTACACTGGAAAATAAGTATTAAATTGATATGGGATAGGGGCCATGGCCTGTATCCTCTAAAACCCATCGCCTCCACATTCTTAAATGATATTTACATTAACTCACATCCTTGAACTTGGAACCAATTATAAGATCCTACATCCCATGGTCCCCAGAGAAAGAACATATGCATTAAATATATATTGATCATTGCCTGCAGGTGTATATTGGGCTGAGTGCTTGCCATATACTATCTCATTCAATTTGTGACCCTCAGAAGCAAGTACAATCATTCCCCATTTTAGAGATGTAGAAACGGAGCCTCTGAGAAGGAAATAATTATCACAGGTCACACATCTAGGAAATGATGAGGTCAAAAGCTGAACCAAGGGCATCTGGATGAAGAGCTCAGGGTTTAGCAACTTACTACGGCTTTAACACATCAGAATGTGGCAGCCACAGGCCTGCACAGACGAGCATTGGACTCTGAGTTGCTCTGCCATCCACAGTGGTAAAAGGTTCATGTGAGGCCACCGGCAGTTGGTGCCAAGGTACCAGGTGCAGTATGTGCTCAGAGTCTGAAGCTGGTGAGAAAATCAATGACATATGGAAGAGATGAAGAAAGACGGTATCAGACGGAATGTGTGTGTCCAAATACACCTATTATTTAAAAACACCCAATGCCTAATTTTTAAACATACTGTACACGCAGAAAAACACACATACATTTCTCTAAGTGGAAATGTAAGTTAGCTGATACACTCCTTCTTCTAGATACAATGGTCCAAATTTGCTAAGAAATGCCTTTTATCATCAATTAGAAATTATCAGCATTAATCTCATTCACTACCTACTGTTTCTTCTCTTGTTTCTTCAATTCTGCCCCCCCGCTTTGTTTGCCTTCTCTTTTATTCTACTCCTTCATATGAGAATTTAAGCAACTCATTTAAATGTTGAGTCAGGTGTTCTTCCTCTTGGGTGGAGACAATTTCATCCTTTCCATGTCTGGCTGGGCCTGTTACCTTCGGGAAACAGTTTTGTCAGAGGTGTTGGAGAAGAGAGGGATGGACAGACAGCATTTCCTCTTAGAAATCCAGCCCGTGTGATATTTACCATTTCATGATGGTCTTCTAGGGCCATGCTGTCCCTCTGGAATAGAAACTGACACAGCTAACGTGTATTAAGCACTCACTGGTCACCAGGCGTGGTGAATGTCCTTGCCCAGGGTCACTATTATGTGGCAGATTCAGGATTCCACCCAGGTCTGTCAGACACCAGAGCCTATGCTCTTAGCTACTGCACTACACTGCCAAGGTCAGGCGTAACGTGTTCCCCCGCGGTAACTTTCCCTAGCAGTGCAGACAGTCATGGTAGAGCCACACGGTGTCATCTGCTGTAGCGAGCTCTTGGAGGTGGCACCAGACTGTGGGCTCTGGCTGGGCTTCCCATTTCTGGGGCAAAGAGGAATGAGGGTGACCTGGAAGGTTCCATTTGTACAGGCTGAAGGAGACAGAAATACCCTAGATTTCGGGTGAATGTGGTGAAGTATATGACATCTGATCACGGTACTTTAGAGCCGAGCTGGGCTTTAAAGACCACCTCCTCTAACTCCCTCCTTGTAGTGAGGAAGTTAAGATCTGAGAGGTTAACTGAATTGTCTAAGGACACACAGCTGTCAGTTAGATGCAATGCAAAGACCTAATTTTTTTTGATTCAGAAGGGACTGCTTTTTCCACTCCACCTTCACCCTGCTGGGGGTCTACTTGTTACTAATAAGTCTCAAAGATCAGAAAATTAGTTGTTTTCAGCAATATAATTTCATGTTATACTTTCTGCTGAACACAGTTACAACAATAATGCAAGCAGACTTCCCAAATCCAGGGGTTTCAAGATGTTTCTCCTTTTTGCTAAGCTAATATATAGAATTTCAAGGCCATATTTACACCACATGAAATTGCCAAAGAACTGGGCAATCTCCTGTAAAAACTCAGTTGTGTGCTGATGGCCAAGTTGTAAAACTCGGGTTTCCTGGCAACTTCTCACTTTCCTTGTGCTCTAGGGAACGCACGCTCCTCAGCAAACAACCTCTCCTGAATTGCCTCCTCCACCGTGGCCGTGACCCAGATCCGACCCACTCGTCCTTTCTGATGTTCCTGCCTCCAGTGCTTACCTGTCACAACAACATACAATCTTGCCTCGAAACCTCCTCAGCTGAATAAACTTAGGTGGTGAACTCCTGGCACAGACGGTTCACATTTCTCTCACATTGAAACACCGGACTGGAACTCAGGGGAACTGACTTCTGGTCCTCGTTCAAACACTATGAAGTCCTTTAAATTCCCTGGTCCTTAATTTCTTCGTGGGTAAAACATGGACACTAATCCCTCCCTACTGTTTTTTGTAAGGCTTGTTCTGAAGATTTTGAAAGTTAGAGATCATGGAGACAAACTGGGCCTATTGAGTCCAGCCCCTCGTGTTAGAGTTGAGAAAACAGACACCCAGAGGTTCTGTGACCTGCCCCCCCATCTTGACCTTAAGGTCACGGAAGTTTGGTTAATGGCAAAATCCAGGACCAAGTCTCAGGTCTTCCCCAGATGCTCCAGCCCTACAGTGCCACCTGTGATAATAAATATGAAAGTATGCTTAAAATGATAAATCATGAAACTGCAGCATGTATATTATTTAGGTATTAATTAATAGACTGGGTATGGAATCAGCACTAATCACATTTTTTCATGCCTTAATGGGGCTGTAGAGTGTTAGGAATTTCTACAGATGGCAAAGATATTCTGTCTAAAGACAAATCCTTCTCCTTCCAGTAAATAGAAGGAAAGCAGGAAGTTTTACCAGAGAATTTTCAGCTCAGCCTCCCCAAGCAGCCTTCTCTTGTTGCTTTAAAAAAATTATTGGAGATACAAGTCAGTTACCATAAAATTCACCATTTGAAGGTGTACGCGTCACTGGCTTAGCATACTCACAAGGCTGTGTAACCATCACCACTATCTAATTCCAGGACATTTTCATCATCCTGCTGCTTTGTGTGTGTCCTTCTGGTCAGGTTGAGTGTAGCTCCACCGAGGCGTGGTGTTGATTCAGGGACACTGCGTCTGGCCCGCGTGTGGTGCTCCCTGTGGCTGAGATGACCAGGTGTCCTAAGTTCACCCTCTATTTGAGGAGCTTGGTGTCTCCAAAAGGCACATCTCCCTCAAGGATGGGCCAGGAGAGGAGGAATGAGAGAGACCCCCAGCCTCAAAATAAGCCCTGACAATGAAAATCAGAGACTGGAAAGCAAAACTCAGCCACCAAGACCAAAATAGGAGGAAATGTCCCAGGCCAGGAGTGAGTGGAACTGCTAGTGGGAAATGTGGCTGATTTAAAGATGCTCAGGGATGGGGGACTCTCCACAGTGTCCATCTCCCATGCCTTGGACCTTCCTGTGTGCTGACTCACACCCCATCCCTTCACTTGGTCTAAGCCTCCTGGGGTCCCTGGGCACCCACTGCTGTCGATGCCTGAACTTCTGCTATGAGAACCCTTCTCACCCTGTGGGTCCTGTAATTACCTGCTTACTGGTCTGCATTCCTGAATCGACTATATGCTTCAAAAGGGAAGAAGTCCTGCGTTTTTAACCTGCCCACCCTGCCCTCAGCATCGTCTGGTACCGTGCACAATTAAGATTTCATGATCAAACTCTTAAGTTGGCACAAGCCCAAATTTCTCTTCCTATACCCTTACAATACAATACAATACAATCAAGTCCCGGGAATGTAACCAAACATCCCATAGTTCCTCAAGGTAGACACACAGGTCAGTCATGACGGTGGGTCAAAGCCACCTTCCTGCAGTTTTCACTAATTAGCCCTAGTTCTGGTCCAAAGAATAAAAGAGAATAAACCTCTGCCTTCTTCTCTATGATAACCCTTCAAGTGCTTGAAACAAACTGTCATATCTTCCAGATCTTTTATTTTCCAGGTTAAACAGATGTCCTTCCTTCAATAATTATACATAAAACATGGATTCATTTACTCATTCATTTGTCCAACAAATATTTTTGAGTACGTTCTGTGTGTAAGACACTGTGCTGAGGACAGTGGGGACAAGAGAGGCCCTGACACAGACTCTGCCCTAAAGAAGTCTGCATTCCGTGCTGGTTGTGCTGCTCCCACTCTCTGGAGGCTCTCTGATTGATCAATATCCCTTTCCAAATGTGGTTTCCAGAACTTGACACTACATTCCCAAGAGGTCTGACCAGTGCAGAGTTCAGAAGCACTATTACTCATGATATGGACCCTGTGCTTCCAAGAAATTTTGATTACTCACATTCTTCTTAGGAAGCACTCAGGGTATGATATTATATATAATGTGTGTGTGTGTGTGCCCACGGGTGTGCTTGTATATGCAGAATAATTTGGTTAAAATTTTTGTAACACTGTCTGCTCTTTGTGATGAAACCAAGTATGTGGTAGTATTTTTGGCGATAAAAGTTCATATCAAAAACATAGCTATCTTGCCAAATAAAAAAAAAAAAACCCAGCCCTTAGGAATAAACAGATTGCAATCTTCATATCAGACTGAACTCTTAAGGTTGGACAGATTCTTTTTTTAAAAAGAGCATTATACACTGTCACTAATGGAAGCATGGACATCTGGCAGGTGAATAAAGCTGTTTCTAATTATGGGGGGTGGTTTGTCTTCAAAGGAGGGTGAACACTGGGGCGCCCTTGGATGTGCTCTTCCATAACATTACTTGCTCAGGACCCGGCAGCCTCCAACCTTCACCTATTTGAAGAATGCGGTGTGGGCCACTTCATTTTAGCTTCTGACCCGAATAACTCTGGTCCTTAAATTCCATCAGGCTTTGGGCATTTTTTTCTTTGGGGTTTTGCTTTGAGACTGAAAATGTGGATTTTTTGGTCATGTTGTTTCCTGGGTACTTTCCGTACATGCGGGAGGGAGACAGACTCACCAGAGGCTGGAAGGTCAACAGAAGAGAAAGCGCTTCTCCTCGGTGACAACAGGGATAAATGTGGGAGAATTCCACAAGACTTGGGTGGTCAGGAGACCCAGGAATGCTTCCAGGAAAAGCAGAGTGTATGAGAGTCATTCTGTCCTCTACCATAAAATAATCTGTCGACGGCACTGTGCTGAGTATTCATTAATTGGTAATTTCGCTGTTTAATATTTTCCAATAATTTTTCTTGGCCTAATGTCTCTTCCC